TATAGAATTCCACCTACAAAAGTACATGAAAAATTCCTCACATGATACGGAGATGATAGCTAAACTCTTGCGTAGCTTCTACGTAGATAACGTTGTTGCCAGTTTTGACAAAAAATCCGAGATGATCCAGTTTATCGAAAAATCTCGAGAAATAATGTATGAAGGAAAGTTTAATCTTCGAGGTTGGTTACATAACGGAGATAACTTGAAACAGGAAACTATTTCACGCGTATTGGGTCTGTTATGGAACTCTCAGAAAGAAACTTTGAATCTGAATTGGCTAGAAGATTTTGAAATGGGTATAATAACGAAGAGAACAATTCTAGCTGTAACACACAAAATATTTGATCCTACTGGTATTGTGAGTCCTGTTCTCTTGTATTCTAAAATATTGTTGTAGAACCTATGGAAAACAGGAATTTCTTGGGATACTGAAGTCGACGAGAGTACAAAACAAAATTTTGTGAATTGGTATAAAAGACTTTTTCTCTTAAAAGAAATATCCCTCCTACGTTGGATACATTCCAACAAGGACAATAGGAAGTTCTGCAGCATTTACAAATTCTGTGATGGCAGTAGTAATGCGTAGTTTTCTTGAGAACTGTGACGAATTCTGGAGTTGAAGTTCATCTGTTGGCATCGAAGTCTAGGGTAGCTCCCGTGAAATCTATTACGATCCCTCGTCTGGAATTGATAGCTGCCACGATAGGTGCCAGACTATGCTCTACTGTTTTAAATGGTTTACAATGGCAAAATGTGGAAACGCATTTTTGGACGGATTCTACAACAGTTTTGATGTGGATTCAAAGGGAAGAGATTGTCTGGGCTGTCTTTGTGGAAAACAGAGTCAGGGAGATTAGAAAACTCACAGATCCAAAAACGTGGAAACGCATTGCTGGAACAAAAAATCCAGCTGACCTCCCATCAAGAGGTTGCACCACTAAACAACTTTTAGTAGTTAGATGGTGGGAGGGCCCCGACTGGCTGAAGAAAAATCAGGAAGAATGGCCTAGACAAAGGGAAATACCGGACATGGAAATAGTGAATTCAGAAAAAAGGAAATCAGTCATTTCTGCACTAAATAAGCAAAGGGTAGAACATTTTTTTGAGAAATATTCATCTTACCATAAAATGTTAAGAATAACTGCTTGGATATGCAGATTTATCAACAACTGCAGAAGACCAGATTCTAAACAATCAGGAGAACTCACGGTCCCTGAAATAGAAACTGTAGAAAAGAAAATATGCAAGATAATACAGATAGAAGCATTTGGCAAAGAACTTAAAGTTAGCAACCTTTGTATCTTTTTTGACTCAGATGGCCTTATTCGGTTAAAGACCAAGATTACTAGAAGAGAGGAAGAAGAAAATTTTCTCTGTCCAATTGTATTGCACTCAAATTACGACTTAGTTCATAGGTTAATTTTAGATTACCATTTGCGACTATCCCACGCTGGTGTGCAATTCGTACTAGCCAATATTCGACAGAAATTCTGGGTCCTGAGAGGAAGAAAAACAGTACATAAAGTTCTTATGAAGTGTGTTCGCTGTAGAAGATATAGCGCAAAGAATATAGAGACTGTTCCAGCACGTCTTCCTGAAGATCGAGTTTGAGATGCTCTGGTGTTTGAAGTGACCGGAGTCGATGTAGCCGGTCCTCTTTATTTAAGGAAAGAAAAAAGGCATGGATCTTGCTCTTTACTTGCGCAGTCTATCGCGCGATACATCTTGAGCTGATAGAAAGTTTATCAACAAATGCGTTCATCTTGGGATTAAGGAGATTTATTGCCAGAAGAGGTCGTCCAAATATTATTTACAGCGACAATGGCACTAATTTCGTTGGAACTGAAAATCTGTTAAGATCGATAGATTGGAAAGAAATAGAATGTCATTCAACTAGTATGAGAATACAGTGGAAGTTTAATCCTCCAACTGCTTCATGGTGGGGCGGTTGGTGGGAGAGGTTGGTACAAACAGTCAAGAAGATGTTGAGAAATGTTCTCGGAAAGTCCTGTGTCTCTTACGAGGAAATGTTGACTATACTTTGTGATATCGAATCAGTGATTAACTCAAGACCCCTTACGTACCTTTCAGAAGATCCAAATGATCTTACGGCACTAACTCCTTCAATGTTTCTACAAGATGTCCACGACGTCGGAGTACCAGACTTAGACTACCTGGATACCATCAATCTGACAAAAAGATACAAGTTCTTGCAGAACTTAAGAGAACACTTTCGCAAAAGATTTTGTGATGAACATTTAGCTATCCTAGTGCAAAAACCATCTAAACGACCTACTCGGACTATCAACAAAAATGACTTGGTGTTTGTCGGCAGTGACAAGAAGAAGAGAATAGATTGGCCAATAGGTCGTGTTGTAGAAATGTATCCTGGGAAAGACAACGAAGTACGTGTTGTCAAAGTGAAAACTGCTACGGGTGAACTCCTAAGACCTGTGAAACGTATTTATCCTCTCGAACTTGATAGACCTAACTTATTTAGTGACTTCACCATGAACAGAAAGAACTCTGCCGATAAGTGTGACAGTGATATGAACTATCAAACTAGATATGGATGTAAAACTGTAAAACCTGTTACATATTTTTAAATAGCTATACTAATTTTTGTTTCTTTTCACTATTTTAGAAATTTAATTGTCCTAACAGTAATCAATTGGAACATGTTATCTGGATATGGTATGAATGTAATGCAGAAAATGTTTAGATGTGTAATCCTTCTTTGTAAGTATTAATTTAGAGCATTAGTTACTTTTCATATTTGTGAAAGTTGTATTTGAATTTTTGTTTGATTATTGATAAATTTTGTTTTGATTTTCCCATCTTACCGAGGTAAAATCAAAAGGTGGGAGGATGCCACATTCTTGCCACTAGATGGCGGGCATCTCTTTCTTTACTTTTTCTGTAACTGAGCTCCGAATACGAGTGGAGATTGGAACCGCTCGGAGGAGCGTAAAGACTCAGTATTAAAATGTACTGTCTTAAAATAATTATTACCTACCTTGTAAATAGTGTATAATAGTGTTTTATTTCAATAAATAATTAAAAGACAAGATGGAATGTTAATTCTAATAAAAACTCTTACTGAAAACGTGATTATTAGAAGCCTGACGTCGAGAACACTAAAGATGCAGCAGGTAAGGAATTTTACATTAATTTTATTGTAAATAGAAGAATCTGATGCAACAGACACTGAAACAATACACGTATGATGAAAACTGCCAACATTAAAGATTTGGAAAGAAAAGCATTGTAAAAGAACAATGGCAACACAAGACAAGAAAGAAAAATAAAACGTTTATTGAAATTACGAGTTTTCAATGTACCCACCTTCACAGATGATAATGCACTATATGCGGGAGATTGTTGATAAACAATGACTAATGTCACACTGCAGGATGAATCTGTATAACTTCATGTTTTATGGCATCTTTCAATTCTGAGAAATCCTGTACATTTCATGTGTATACTTTGATTTCAGATAATCCCAGAACCAGTTCATTCAGCAATGTCGGAGGACAGTGGTGGCCACGAAACTGCAAAATTATGGGAGATAACTGTATCTCCAAAGTGCTGCTGCAGCACTTGTTGAACATATGTGACAATACATGGAGAAGCCACATCTCACATCCATACAATGTCTTTAATGACATTTTGCTACTGCAATTATGGAATTACCTAACTCTGTAAGATTGTTGTATACCGAGCACTAGCGATGGACATGTTTTTGTAACTGTAGAAGGTACCTCTTCAAAGAAATAAGGACTGAGAACAAATGTGCTTGCGATGCTGCAAAACATATTCACTTTAGTTGCACGTATAATTAAACGTAATTTGAGGGCAATTTAAGCTGGTGCCACACTGTGAAGATTTCCGTCAGGCCAGTGAATGCAGTTTTTAGAGTTTACATTCCCAGTTAAGGAGGAATGTGGCTCATCTGTACATATCTGTTGTGGCCACCTGCCATTTTCATCATGTCATACGAGAAAAAAATTCACGAAGTCGATATACTGTTGCTCATCTGCAGGTTGCAACATTTGTATGTACTGGAATTGATGAGGAAACATTCACAGAACAGCATGCAGAAGCTTGAAGACTGTGGTTTTTGGTATATACGAACTGCGGTCAACACTTCTCGCAGTACCAATGGACTTTTAGTAATCATATTATAAACTTCCACAACTTCAAAAAGAACATATGCATCCAATTTCTTCACATTTTTTTTTACTAATCAGTACAGCTTATACAGCACATGGGCCCTGTCTTAAGATTTTGCAGATAAACTCGCACTGTTTCAGCAGCATTTTCCCCATTCAGATAAAACAGCTAAATCAATTCACTTCACCGTTTCACTGTCATTTTGTCAAAATATTTGAATGCCTGATGCCTGACTGAAGAAACAATTGTTTTTCACGCTGCTTATTAAAGGTTTTCCACAAGCAATGCACACGGTGTTCTGCAAATGGTGCTTTTACCATCTATTCCTGTGAATTATGCAAAGTGCATCAACACACCTCCTGTCTTGCCATTGGTCTTTTACAATGCTCTTCTTTGCAAATTTTTATGCTGCCAATTTTCATCATACATGTATCATTCCAACACCATTTATGGTTTTTCAATGCGCTGATCAATTTGTGCAGGAAAAATTGGACGATGCCATTCGAAAATTTTGAAATTTTTTCACCATATCAATCTTGAGCGCAAACCTTTAAGTAACAATATTTGAAATCTCATTTCGACTGGTTGAGCAGACTGGGAATTCATATATCAGGGAGTTTTTTTTTTTTTTTTTTTTTTTTGACCATCCTGTACATTAAATATTCAGAGCATTCTAAAAACATAATCTTGAAACAAGTTTTGTATCAAACAAGAAAACAGTAATTTTATGTAAATTTCAAGATACTAGGAGTCCAATAAGTAGTTCAGTATTTAAAATAAACAGCTTCACATGAATGACATTTAATTTTTAAGCATAATTTTACTTTTTGCAAATTGGGCAAATAACTTCCTCTTTTTCCAACCAGTTAACTGCAGATTCCAAAGATCGTAGTTCTTCATTTTGAGCATACTCTTTCTCCAACAACATCTTTTCTAATTAAAGAAAACTAGTGTAAATTTCTAAAATTATCATGGAAACAATTTTCAGCACAATTATAAGCTTTTCTTAATATTTATTTCAGAAAAGGGAAAAAAGAAACAGCATACTACTGGAAATTAAAAAAAAATAATATAAAGATCTAAAAAATATTTTTTATGAAATTAAACACAGAAAATATTTAAAATAAATTATGAACATTCTTACAGACAAAGAATAAAATGACAATCAGAGCTATTCAAAAATACGAAATCAGTCAATCCAAAAATGAGGAATCCAAAACTTTTTTCTACAAATAAAACAACTTATAGTATAAATCAAGAGAACTAGAACTTCATTATAATTCACTTTTTGCCTCTCACGCAGTACAGAAAACAGAAGATATTTCACTAAGTGCTAATAATACACATCTGCAAAATTAGAATTCCTGTTTTAAACTCTAGCTCTGGGGTTCTCAAGCAAGAAAGGGGGGAACCCTTCTGGGAGAGAATTTTATACTTTTAGGAGGGATGTGGTCAGGCCTTTTTTTGGGGGGGGGGCTGTTAAATTTTTAGTTTATGAATTTCCAAAAATTACTTTCGTTTAAGATTCATGGTCTGGTGTTTATCAATAATTTCAGACTTTCTGTTGTTTAATTTATCAAAAACATGCTAAAAATAAACAAATGTATATGTAATTTCTAGTTTTGTAAAGGAATTTGAAATGACTTTCTAGCAATGGTGAAAAGGGTGCATGGGACAAAACACAGGTTGAAAACCATTGCTCTAGCTTTAAAGATGCCTCAAACATATGAAACTCGCCAGAAATTTTTTATTGCAATTGACAGCACTTTAATGTCTACAAAAGTCTACTCTACAAAATTAATTATAGAGCAAAATATGTTTTTCTAAAGTTATCATATACAGGAATTATTTTGATGCAATAAGTCGCATGTTGTCTGTCATCTTGCAGTTCTTGAATAATGAAACAGTGGAGCTTTACAGGTAAAATGGTTAAAAATACAATAAGAATGTATTAGATTATGAATGCTAATTAGTTTTGCAATTCCTGATTTTCCTGACATAAGGGAGAAAATGGCATTAAACAGCTATAGAGAGAAAGGAGGAATAATTCTGAAATGACTAAGAATAATAACCTGAAAATAATTACCACTAATTTTGCTTTATCATGCAAAATTAGAATAACAATATAACTGGTTGAGAGACTCGAAATGTTTTTTGAATGTAATTAGATTAGTTTGAAGAAGCCTGAAAAGAGATTACAGTACAACATGAAAGTGAATACTTAATAGTGAGCATAATTATACTTTATCTCCAGCAATCAGATGCATCAGTTTACTAAATCCACAATGATGTTAGAGCTGGCATGTACAATTCTGGTTCTTATGCTTATGATACCCATACAGCACACTCAGTTGCTATGATGTTGCAGTGACCTCTCAAAGTTGCATTTTCTCCACATTACATTTGTGACCACGGTACAACGTCACATTGTGATGTGGATGTGAATGTTGTACGGATGTCACATACACGTCGCAGCAGACATTTAATGTGACAAGAAATTCACAGTCTTTCCCACCCTGACCTTTCTTGACCTTGCACACGTAATTCTTCTTTAATAGGAGGTATTCTTGCATGCTGACCTCCCCCCCCGATTCACTGCTATGTGTTTCAGTAAACTTTTCTAAATAAATGGTTCTTTTATGCTAATAGCTTGCAATTTTAGTTATTTCTTTTTTTATTAAAAATATTAACAGTTTTTAATGTGTTTTTATTGATGTGGTACTTCAAAATCATTGAACTATATTCTGTGGTGAATGGATTCACATTCTACAGTATCTAGAGACTGACGAAGGAGTTTGTTGTCTGCATAGCGTGTGTTTGTCTTAAGGATTTTCGTGACCATATTTTTAGTTCTGTTCACTGAACACATCATCTGTGCTACATTTTCAGGTAAGCACTATTTATTGTACATTAAAGTTAATGATATCAGTAATAATTAATATGTAATAATAAAAGTGTAATTTAAATGCTATGAACAAAAAGAAATACTGGCAGCAGATTAACTTTTATTTCTATTACAATGAGTGCGGAAGCAAGAGCCATTATCAAAAGCGATCTTATTTTTGTCTCACAGCTTAGAAATTTTAATTTAGGGAGTCAAGTTTATTTGGTAGATATAATTCACTTTTTGTTGTTTTTAATATTAAAAGATAATATGAAAAAAGAATAGATTTTATGCATTTTACTGCAGTATTTGCATCGTGTTCAACTATTTTTCGAACTTATTCGCAAAATAATTACTGTATTTGATGGCATATAATACGCACTTTTTTTCCTAAATTTGGTCTCAAAAAGTTACCTGCGTCTTATACGTGAAGGACACAGTCTTATACGTGAAGGTAATTGCACTCAATAATTGTTTATTTGGCTTTTACGAAATGTGAGAACTAAAAGAAACCACGCTATTGAAACTTTTTTCCTTGTGTGTGGCCGTCTAAATAAGGGTGCGTCTTATATGCCGTCAAATACGGTACTTACTTCTATGCATGGTACTTAGTGCCACATTATAAATGATGCAATACTTCCATAACCACGTTTTAGTTATATAGAACACGTTTTTTTAAATTATTATAACTTTACAAATGGTGTATTACTTTAAAACACTGAACTTTTCTACATATTTCCTATATGTAAATTTCTGAGATTAGTTTTAAAATTTATTATATCAGATCTTTTCTTTTTGTAAATTATGTCACACTTTTACATACAATATATTTGTGTTGTTAAAGTAACTTAAATTTGCTTATTAAGAGATTTAGTTAGAGAAAAATATTTCCTAGTTTAGGTCAAATTTTTTTAATACAGCAAAACATACGAGGGCTGTCTACTTAAGAGAAGAAGGGATGCCTTTGTGAAGGACTTTCTAATGAAACTAACTCGTATTCAATTTATATATTAAGAAAAACATGAAAACCTGTGGAAAAGTACTTGTTACTTGACAGATTAAGAGAATATATTTATGGTATTAATTTTTTGAATAGATGCATAAATTATTTAAATGATAACAATATAAAAATAAGGAAATTACATTTCATCGTTACTTATATATGAAAGAAGTTAAAACTTCACTTGTGACAAAAGAGTATAAATTAATAGTAATTTGTCTCTAAAAGTACAAGTTACTTCGTGTTATAAAGAAACCGAATTTCAAATTGTATTTTAAGATAATTTAACCTATTGCAGATAATTTTATAAATGTAATGAAAATTACTATAAATCGAAACGTATATTTAAGCTTCACCGATACAACTTTATTTGAAATAAAAATTTTATTTTAAATTAATGTATTTCACTTCTGCAAACAAGATATTTTATTTGGTTATTATAAACTTAAAAATTACATCTAACCCTCTAATTATGTCAAATTTAATTATCTAAACTTATCACATTTAGTTTTGCTTTAATGTATCATTTGCAGAAATACACATTGAAAAGACACTAATTTCTGTAATCGTATTTGAAAAGCTTAGAAAAATTAAGAAAGGAATCTTTCACACAGGAATTTTAAAATTTCATTGTGATAACTTGGAAATTCGCATATTATAAAACACTGATGAATTAAAGTCTGCCAAACAGGGGGGGGGGACTGATTTTAAGGTAAAATATAATTTCATGGAATTCTTTTTATTGGGACAGACTTCAGTTCTTTGCCGCATTTAAATAAACAAATAAATTTGTTTGGAAATTTCATAACAGAAAGCCAATTCCTGAAGAGTCAATCGAAGGTTCTGAAAACTCCGTATAATTGCACTGCATTATACTGTGGGACATATATATTTCTTTTAATGTAAGATATATATATATGTAATGTTTTCAGTTATTCCAACACATCGTGGGCGAATGGTGAGGTTATTCCATTACACGTTCTGGCAGATGCTTGACGAAGCTGGGATGATTGAATCACGGAGAAAAATGACGACTCAGGACTTTTCACTTTTAACAGCAAGCATATCTTTATTTTAATTTACAGCAGATGACTTTTTCCAGATGGAGTTAATCAAATAACTTATTCAGTAATTGAACTATTAGATACGACTGACTTTAAACTTTAATACGTCATAACGTTCTAACAAAGAAAGAGGAGCATAGCGGAAGCGTTAGCAGGAAGAAGGCGAGAAGGCATCTGTGTAGGAGAACTTATGACGCAGCATTTATATGAAAGGTTATGTAACAGAGTAGCTTCTAGAAAAATGTAGAAAAACTTATGACGCAGCATTTATATGAGGAGGTTATGTAATAGGTGCGAATGTGCTAGAAGGTACTGGGTTAGGGGACGATCTTGAATTGCAGAAAATTAATTAAAGGTTGCTGGTTCGCAAAGAGCAAAGACATCGTATTTTTTTTATATTTTACATCTTCTCCCCCATCAAAAAGAGAGGCCGGGGTGAGAAAAGCATTAGTACAGGAGTGAAGCAAAAGTATGAGATAAGACATGAAAACATCCAGAACATAGCGTACAAGCTTTAACTATGGCCTATCATAGTTCATGACTTTCTCATATAAAATTTTGACTTTATAGCACATGAAATTTTGAACATTAAAACAATGAGTTATAAATAAATATACAATATATGACTAATTTTAAGACTATAACATAATAAATATGGAATACTGATAAATAAATAAGTGATAATTACAAAAGTCCTCAATTTTGTTAAAAATGTCCATTTTTTGTTTTTTGAAAGTCCTTTTCATAAAAGAGTTCGAATAGAATGAAAATATCTGGTAAAATCTCTAAATGCCAGATAGTCCACAAATATGATGATTTATGATGCATTTTTTTTCGCTGAATATGTTTTCATAATAAAAAGCTTTGATTAGAAAATATTTAAAATTTTTCTTCCTTCAGATAAAACTTGGAAAAGAAAAATTATACAATTTATGAATAATATATTATGCTTTTTTTCCTCTCATCGTAGGCAATTAAAGATTGA